TGTCAGTTTTTTACTTTCCAGGCCTTTCTTCTCCTTTCCCCCCTCCCTCCCTCTCAAGCCTTTCACCTTTTTCCATCACTTTCCCCTTGCCAGTAAGGTTCTTGCCCCCACTCCTTTTCCGTTGACTTTCTTCCTGTTCAGCCTTAGCAACCCTGCCTCCCTGAATATATGAACACTGGAGTCATGTCGTTCTCTTTGCTGGTGAATTCTTCCCCCTTATATGTTTAGGCCAAATTTATCACAGCATTTTGACTGTCCCACTGTCTGTTATCCAGCTTAACAGAGCCGGATAATACAAATAACATAATAATATAAATAAGAAAAGCCCTTAAAGTCCAGGCATATGTGGAGGAACCTTACTGCTGGAGGCATTAGACCTGTGGATTATACGTTAGTACTAAAAAAAGGTTGTTGACCACAGTAAAAGGATAATAAACCCATATTTATTTGAGTGTTGCTGCTTACATTGTAGCTCTGAGCATTCATGGTAGGGCCTGTTCCTTCTCTTCCTGAAGTCTCTATCCAGCAAACTCTTAAACATATGTGCTTTCATGTGTTTTAAATTAAGCTTGCATTTAGATGGTTTAGGACATTTGTTATTGGAATTTTTGCTACTGACATCAATGAGAATGGAACTGGACCTTTAGTTAGTTTGGATTATTTTGCATATTTTCCTACTTTGCATTAGGCTGTAGGTACGGAGCTGAAGACTAGTAATCCACCAGAAAAAACGTTCTGAGGGTCAAGATCCTCCTCCATTCGTGACTGAATACCTGAGAATTTACTTCTGTGACCTAACACGTCTTCCAGGCCTGAGACAACATGGAGATGAGAAGGAGCTTACGGAGTGTCACTGTAATCGTTCTGGCACCAGTGGGGTATAAAGGAGTGGAGCATTTAGAAAGGACTCGTGAGAGAGTCAGGGGAGAGTCTGCTCAGGTAGAGAGGAACGAATGGCACACTTGGGGAGATAGCTGGAACAACTGAAGGGCAAAGCTTGGTCTTGGTGCTCGCCAGGGGGTCAGGGGAATAAGCTGAGCTGCAGAATAATTTTGTGGACTCTGGGCCTGATATATAGTTATATAACTTAGAGTAAAACTGAGAAGAGCTGGTCTATTGAACTGAAAATGAAAGAGATAGTAGTTCAAAGGGGATGATACAACGCTGTGGAAACAACACTAATCAAAGGAGATGGAAGAAAGGCAGGCAGCGGGAAGGAAGCAGGGGAGAGGAGCAGAGCTCAGGAACAAAGTGGAAACAAGTGATCTTTAGGACCTCAGAACATTCACTCCATTCGCCAGAGACTTGGCTTTATGGAATGTCTCTGAAAATTATGGATTTTCTAAACTCTGCTTTATTTTTCATGGACTTCAGCTTATTTGCACATTTCAGATTGCTTTGTTGTGAATCCTCACCAGATTTTCAGTGATGATCAAGAAGAAAGCTTGTTTCTTTTTAAGCCTTGGTGGTTTGGTCAGTTCTAAAACTCCCCCAACTTCCTGCATCAGCTCCAGTGTTCAGAAGGAAGTCATGGCCCATCAAAATTCTGAAGACGTAGACTGCATGTCTCCAGGTGACTGTGGATTTAGCATGATAGTTGTGATGAGGAAAGATGGAAATATATACATATCAGATAGTTGTCTGCTCGTATAAACCCAAATATGCCATTCAGACAGATGAAATATCTGCCCAGGGCAGTAAAGTATTTAGGGCAGTAAAAGCCATAGTGATCCTTTCATGTGTGCGTGGCTGGGAAAGGCAGAGCTCTGCAGTCTGGCAGGAAAGGCTCTGTGTGGGTGTGTGTGTGTTGGAGTGCATTGGTGGGCTTAATTTGTGGTGTGCAGAGCCAGCCAGCATCCAAAGGCAGAACACAGCCTGCAAAATGAAGTGCTAGCTTGAGAATCCAGATCACTTCATTCACTGTGTTGGGATGCTTAAAACACACTAGTCTGAGCAGGATGTGATGGACCTTTGTTGATCAGTGTTAAATTTGCCTTTCTCTGGCACCAGCAGATCAGGTGCCTGCAGTTTACAGCATCTTCTAGGCTCCACCTGCATCTGCTCTTCTTTCCCATCCCTCTACCTGCAATGCTGGATGCAACAGCCAAGTTGGAAGTTTACATGTACCAATGTACCAAGAGGTGTGTGTGTAACAAATAAACTGTGACGGAGATTGGCAAGTTGGTAGTTTCTGTGATGCCATCTGAGGAACCACAGGTAGTGGATGGAAAGCTGCTGAACAAAATCTTGACTCAGCAGAAAGAAGTGGCAAAGCACTTGCTAATTTTGTGAGGGTCAGGATTTCACTCTTTATGAGCAAGAATCATAGAAAAAAGTTTGGCTTCCAGAAATAACATTTTAAAGATACATCTGTCTTCTTGCAAAATTGTTGTTAGTGTTGATATGAAGGTGGATTGGATTGTGTTTCTCAAATGCATTCTTTGAGATCTCAAATCATAGAAGATGCAGGGTTTGATCTGTATAGAGACACTAAATGTGCAGTGCCATGAAGCTGCAGTGCAGACTGGACAAAGTATACACATACCATCACATGTACATGTGCATAGAAAGCTTTGTGCACGTGTGTAAGTATCTGAGTGCATTTTATGGGTTTGCTGGTGCATGAACGTGCATATGCATGGATTTGCACTCACCTGAGTTAGCTCCCAAAGCCCATCCATGAGATGGTGCCTCCGCTGCAGTCACCTGATGTCCGTAACACTAAAACTTACCAGTGAGCAATGCAAAACACCCTTCCCTTGACCTGGTAGCGGTAAATTTTACTTTTTAATTTATTCCAATTTAATTCGAAACACTGACTTTTGTTATGAATGCTATGCAGCATTTTATCACTGAATTCCCTAATGAAACGGGTGCTTAAGAAGTCAGAATTGCTCAGGTTACTGGTTGCATAAACACCAAGAACAGATCTCAATGAGACAGCTGGTAAAGAAAAGGGTGCAGAATAACAGCAGGGTTACTTTGGATTGATCTTCAAATGGATCAGGTCTTCTTGTAATAGTCCGTGCTCATCTGCCCCAGTGTATAGTATTTCAGTCATCTGAAACCAGGTTCTAACCCGCCACAAATAGCTTCTCTTGCTTTCTGTCTGTAGCAGCTAATTGTTATTGCCCACAGTGGTTCCTGTGACAACTGACATCTAAGAGAACTCATCAGAACACTTGTTCTTTCTTTAAATTTTCTGTTCTGACACCCTATCGTTAAGCGTTCAGTACTTCAGACAGAACATGTGAGATATATATATAACCCTTGTATTATTATTCAGCTACACACCATGTCTTCAGTGAAGGATTAAATGAACAGCAGAAAATGTTGTGTTTCATCCATAAATTTCAACAGATGTTTGAATGTTGGTTGATTTATTGCATGTCCAACTTGGATCTTACACTGTTCTCATTGTAGCTGCACATGGTTTATTTAATAGTACTTTACAACAATTTTTTATGACGTTTTTCAGTTTGAAGGGTGCAACAAGGCATTTTCTAGGCTTGAGAACCTTAAGATTCACCTCCGGAGTCATACTGGGGAGAAGCCATACCTGTGTCAGCATCCTGGCTGCCAGAAAGCTTTCAGCAACTCCAGCGACCGGGCAAAGCATCAGCGAACACACCTGGACACCGTAAGCATGATTTCATCCTGGGAGTTGAACTGAGTTTTCCAGTGCTCCTCATACAGAGTCTGTTCTGCAACTGGAGGTTGACTTTTCCTTTTCACAAGGAGCATCTCAGAAAACTCAGCTATAGGCAACTGCACTTTTGTTTGGAATTGTTTATGCTTTGAGAAGTGAAAAAGTCTTGATCACTGAAAGGCAAATTCAGCTGTCTTACTCATGCTGAGGAATAAATTACACAAGAATAGGTTACTCAGGAATAAGTTAATCAGCAAACTGTCCCATTGTTCTTGTTCCAGTAAGAGGAGGCAGCCGCAGAGTAAGGTACAATGTGAGTGAAAGCTGAGTCATTGCTGTTGTACTAAATGTGTGTCATTGTCTTGCTTCCTGTCCTGTGTAGCTTCAATAACGTCTGTTCTGAATGAATGCAAAAGCAGTTCAGATATCTCAGTGGAAGGTAAATGCATCTCAGTTTTGGACATAATTTTGTAAAGGTAAAAATGCATCTGTCTTATAACTGTATGAAGAGAAGATGGGAGCCTGTCTAGTGTCTTAGGCTCCAATAAAATTAAATCACCATATTATGGGGAACGAAAGTAAGTAGACAACTTTGCAGACCAGTTAAGTCCTCAGCATAAAGCTTGTAAAGAATTACAGGCAGAGTTGTCCCTTTGTCTTTTTCAAAGAAGTGAATATATGGTTTAACATTTGGCCAAGTGTTTATGGGGCAGAACTTTTTGAGTTTAATTGATATTTGCTTTTTAAGCAGTTACACATTTCAGACAGTGCAGCATTAAGGAATGTCTAATGTACATTATGCCTTGCAAAAACAAACAAGTAAGAGAAACGAGTCAGTCACATTTTCCAAACCAAAGCACACTTACAATAACAATGTTTTATTTATTTGAAAGTCAACCTGAGATATTTGAATTTGTAATTAGTTCTAAAATGTGTCTCTTTTGAAAATGGATGTACTAAATTGGGTGCACAGTTTTGAAATGTAACTGCTCAAATCTAATAGATACATTTTTATTAGCCAAAGTCACAAATGGAATGGCATTTATTAGTTTCAAAAGAGAATTCAAATGGTTACCAAAATTAGCAGAAGTTCTTATACCTGTTGATCTGTGCATTATTGAAGACAAATCTCTTAACTATCTATTTTCTTTTCTTCTCTCTTTATCTCTGTCTTTGTTATCTGAAATGCTCATAAATCAGGAAAAAGGTACAGTAATAATTTTCTACTAACTTCCTTAAATGCCTTAAAACATCCTCCATGCTATTCTGCTGCAGGTTCTTTAAAACTGTTTCTGTAGTCCTACAACACAGTAACTAATTTCCACTTACCTGGTTTAATTAAGTTCAATGGTTTAGCTTAGTATATTGTGTGCTTATGTGAATGTGAAAAACAACAGTTACAGAATGATGCTGCTGTAAAGCCTGCATGTTGCATTAGCTCAGTGGACAAAATAACTGCCCGGAATGTCAAAGCAAATAGCCATGAACCTTTTTAAGGGTAGTCAGATATTCATCTAGTTACCCTATCACTAAGTTGGATGATTCTATCACTAATTTGAACGACATCAATGATTTGAAAAATACTCTGCTAAGTTTTCTGCTAAGGGATTCGTTAAAGTTTTCCATAGTTTTTCCTCAGGTGTCAACTCTCTGTGTTCCAGACACTCTCAATAAATCTGCTTTGCCCTATAACTTTTTGGAAAGGTGCTGTGTTAGCCTGTAAGGTCATGAATTGGTGAATGATTCTATTATTCCTTCAGAAATTTCCTATGGACAGAGCAGCAATACTTATCCTCTGGAGGGACTTAAAAGAAAAGGGATTTGTATAGACTGCTTACTCCTTACTGAGTGCATTTGGAATTGGTTTTAAAGCTTCTCAATGTAGGTTGCTCCATCATTTATCTTCTCCAAAAGGAGAATCTGTAAATCATTTCAGAGACTTACTGGTGTATGCTAGTGAACTGAGTGGATCTCTACTAAATCATCTGGAAGTAGATACTTCTCCTAGGTAGAAGCAGAACAAAGGGAACGTATCTGTCCTTGTGGAAAAAAGGTTATGTCATTACTCCCCTGGGAGTAGAGCTACCTGTTTTAAGGACGTCAAAGTCATTTCTCCCAAAACCCGTGGGTCTTCTTCTGTTTTGTGCATCCTCTTCCTGAAATCAAGGGGATTAAAGAATGTGATGCTGAGGTCAGGATAAATCTTTTTCTACCTTTGGGAAGACACCAAAAGGACTTGGTAGTCCAAGTGAGAAGGCTAAGGTAGCGTTGACAGATGAGGCAAGGAAAAGAGAAAAAAGGAATGTTCCGCTCAACTTTAAAACTTTGTGAGCTTTGACATGCAGCTCACTCTTGCTATCACTTAAGTCAGTGGTTACTTTATAACAAGTGTCAGTGTCCCTTTGTTCATCTTGGCAATTGCACGTTCACTTGGAAGGTCTGCTGTAACTGGGAGATAGTGCTTCATTTGTTGGGATTAGGCATAACTAAGAGAAGAACTTGGTGAAGCTTTCAGTCGTTGGGACTCCCTAATCAGCAGTTAGATTGAAGCATCCTTATTTATTTATCTTTTTATTTTCCTGTGAGAAGAGTGTACTGGAAATGTCTGCCCAGACCCAGATGGCTTTCCAAGGGAAGAATGTTCATACTGTGCCACACGGAATTGGCAAGCTCTGCCCCATGCCAAAATCAGCTGGAAAGGTCTTCCCAACAAAATCAACAATAGTGGATTTTTCTTTCTATATTGATTTGCTCAGATGTTAATGTTTGATGCAGGTTGTTTGGTTTGGAGTTATAAAAAGAAAGATATTGCTGTTGTTATTCACATCAGGAAAAAAGTATGAAGGAAACCAAATATGTTCTATCCTACAAGTTTTGCTCTGCTGCATATGGAACAGTTCTAAAAATTATGTAAATCAAAACTCAGAACAAGAGCTTCTGTATTTATAATTATACTGGGTAAGCACATGATCATTCTGTCTACTGTAAAGGCTAGAAAAAGTATTCATGCTCTCAAACCCCATCCAGTTCCATGTCATTAGCATTTAAGTCAGCCCAGTAATCAATATTCAGCATGGCAGGGTATAGATGTGTCGAGTGCAAAATCAGAGGGATCGGTGTAGTTCTGCCTGCATCACGTCTGGCTTGTTTACATAGAGGAGACAGAGCAAATCTGGGAACAGCAATCAGAGCAAACAGCTCAGGCTTAACACTGTGTTTCACAGAACGCGCCATCCTTCAGCGCTCGTTCTGTGTGTCGATGGCAGAGATTCAGAGGAATATGAAAACTTTCCCGTTTCCTCCCGTTTACAGAAACCCTATGCCTGTCAGATTCCTGGCTGCTCCAAACGCTACACCGACCCCAGCTCTCTGCGCAAACACGTGAAGGCTCATTCTGCCAAAGAACAACAGGTGCGTAAGAAGGTAAGACCCACTAGGCAAGAAATGCCGCATCTCCAGATCTCCTCGATAGTCATTTTTAACTTACCTTTAGTTTATGTATTTTAAAATCAGAGTTCTCCTGCAATATCACTAGAAGAAAACTTAAGTTGAGATAATTTTACTATTGGGTTTTAATCACTGTTGTTAACCAGTCCACTTTATAGTTTTGTGCTTTCGGGGCTACCACCCTGTAATTTCGGTTTGCCCCACCCTTTCTCTCCAAGCATTTCTTTCCTGTTCATCTTGCATACACAAGCCCAAATTCTGCTGTCATTCCCATAAAATGTCCACACATTGAGTCTCTGCAATCAGCTAGTAAATATACTTTGGCAGGTCATCTAAAACACAAATGAAACTAAGTCCGGATACTATGGAAATGTCAGGAAAGGAGCACTTCTAATAGATGAGAATGAAACGCCCCCCCACTTTTCCCACCACATCTGTGTTTTAAATGCATTTATAAATAATTCCAAACCCAGACTGATAGTTATGTTTTCACTACTATTAAATTCAAACAAGTATTTTGGTTTCTGTGGATTAAATCCTGAACTCATTATTAAATGGGGATGCTTATGGGCACCGACCCAGGGTCTGAGACTCGTTTATCACCCATTTGTACACACAGTTTGTAAAAAGACAATTGAGGCTCCACTGAGCTGGTCTGTGACACAACAGACTGTGAGCGTACTTCAGGCCCCAGAGCTGAAGGGAATGCAAGCCTTAGCAAGCAATTACAATTATTTCAATAAGCAGCAATGACATCTTCCCCCAGCTGCCTCGCCACTGCTGAGAGTATCACGGATGTGACAGCAAGGCATGTTTAAAGGATGGAGGACAGAGCAGAAAGGACAGCCTGGCAAGATAGAGCTAGGGAGCAGCTAGTTTGCAAAAATGTCAAAGGTAAGAACTAGAAGTACTGGAGAGCAGAGGGAAACGTGGAGAGAAGAGAAAATAGCAGAACACAGATGATCTTAGCTGCACAATTTGGGATGGGCCATGGAGGAGCGAGATGGATGTTAAAAAGACTTAATTTTCCTGCTAGAATACAACTGTGATGAGTTCATACTGATTTGTCCTTGTGTCAACTGTGCCCCCTGTCTTACACCCCTTCCCTCCTGCTATTTCTCAGTATGACTTAAATCATCTATAGTTTTCACTTGGCCAGATTCACCAGTCCAAACTTATGGTCCCCTTTCCTAGGATAGTTGTATATCTCCCAGTTCTTCCTGTAACCCTTCTGTGCAGCAGGTACATGCCATCTGAGAAACAGTTTCTACAATATCAGTGTCTAGAGTTGTGCACGCTATTTCAAATAGTCAGTCAAGAAGCACCCATTACATGTGGAGCTTTGTGCCTGGGAGTATCGCTCTTCATACCTAGCACGCATCCAGATGTCGACAAAATCAGGTTTTTGTCTCTGCATATGTCAGGTCCAGTCAGAACTCTTATTTAGCCTGGCAGGAACAGAAGGGACCACCTATTTCTCAAGCCCAAGTTTTTATTATCAGTCCATGTGGTGTCACTACAGCTCTCTAGAAGGTTCCGCAGGGTGTGCTGTGCACATCTCCCACACCACAGGTCGCAAAATTCCCCACGGTTCCCTGAGCAACTTTTAGGTCTTAATGGGAATAGGAGTCAGAAAGCCATAGCAGTAATTGGTCACAGAAGGAGGTTGACTGTGACATAAAGTCTTTTGCAAGAGCAAGATCTTTGTGACAGGAAGGTTTTGTGTTATGGATTTCTCAGCTGATTGTGGAAAGCAGCCATGCTCCCTATTCCAATGGAAAGAACTCCCTGTCTTTCCTTCCTGTGCTTGCTGACATACTTCTTGGGGGAAAGAAGGAGGGAATTATTTCCTAATACCCACCATGGATGTCATTTGTTGGGCTTCATGTTCTGTGCTCAATGCATTCGTATGCTAATATCCTTTACATCTGGACAACGGAACAGTCCCCACCTTGCCACCTGCTAAGGCCTATTTTTAAGTGGAGGAAGGTGGGAAAAAATTAAATCCAAACTTCACAGTAAGGGGGATGAAGCACTTCACACATAAGCAGTAGGAGGCATTAAGCAGAGAATTGATACCGGACAAATGCGGTACGCACAAATTGCAAACTCAGGCTGCTTGAATGTACCAAGATGTCAAATATCCAGAGTTTCATGTCTCTCTGTCTCCTAGCTTGGAGAATTTTGTGCATGCACACACATACCCTTCCATAGACTTACCAAGTCTGTCTTAAAATAACCTTGGTTCCTTGCCTCCCACACCTTATTTGGTAGACAAATCTAAATCTGCACTCGTCCAGTGGTTTGAAATCATCTTCAGATTTCCTGTCTTATTTATCCATGATAACTTTATGGATACTTGATCCTGTGTCTTTTTTCCTTAAACTAAAAAGTCATCTGAAAAGGCAGCCTTGAGTGCATTTTGATGCATTAAGTAAATCTCGGTGTTATTGAAACAGCGACAGTCTACTTTGGAAAAAAAGAGGGAAAGACTGTTTATACTCCCTTGCTTATTTTTGGTTACAGCTCAGCAGAGGCAGTTGAGTTGTCCGTTGGTATCAGCTTCCTAGGAGTTCTGAGTGGAAATGACTTAGCCAAGAAAGAAAAATTAACAGGCTGCTCTGCCCACGTGCCTTGGTTGAGATATGCTACCAAACTGTGCTGTCTCTGATATAAAATAAAATGCCTGAGCTTAATCCTGACTATTTAGTTCATAGCCTCAAAGATCACGGCAGTGGTAATATTTGGTTGTTCTGAAAGGCTTTACAAGAACAAAATAGGAGAAAGTTAGCTGTTAATTTAGTAGTAGTTTAATTGGCTGCAGATGCACTTTGTGATCCAAACGTTAGGTGTTTATCTTGAACCAACAAATGGCTCTATAGTAGAATTCTAAATAGGTCTGCCTGGACCTTTTATTTAGAATAACCAAACCCAGGGGAGATTGGTATGCAAAACTGTAAACTTAAAGACAATAACTATTTATTAATGGCTATAGAATATTATAGCTGTTTGTGTAATGTGAGTACTGCATTATGACAAAAGCTTGGCAACATCAGCATGTTTGAAAGAGAATTAGAAATGCTTTCCTTTCTTAATTCTCCTCTCCTGCTGTTTTTAATATGATCGACATTGTGGTTTTCAAGAGTTTGCTTCAGACACTTTTGCCAGAGCTTTAATTTACATGGAGAACAGCTGACATAGCGGTGATACCCCTTACACATTACTGACAGCGTATTATTCCACTGATAAGTACAAACGCTTTTCTTTCCCTTTCAAATGTCTTTCCAAGTGTCACAGGTGATGCAATCCTTTTGCCACAGAACCCAAGAAACTACATAAAGCCTGAAAATATGAGTTAAATTATGCAGGAAGGTTTGAAGAAACACAGGAGACATTGTTTTCTGAAGCAAACTGTTGTTGATTTAAGATTAGCATACTTAACTTACATGCTTAAGAAAACAAAAATTATCTCTAATTAAAAATACCGCGTAATAGATACATCCTTACTTACACCAAGTTCCTAAGAATTACATTTTGTTCCTTCCTTCTATGTATAATCTTTAAGCAAAGAGACATATTAATTTAATTAAATGTCAAGTGGTTTACTTTGAAATAAAATGTTTGTTTTATCCTCCTCTTGTAGCTAAATTCATGTACTGATATCGAACAAGATGTACTAAGTGAATGCTTAGCTATACAACAACTCCACACATCATCACAACACATTTTGGATGGGAAATGTGGTAGATCTGTAGGTCATCATGATTTAATTACAGGTAAGAATACTTTTAATAAGTATGATGCTAAATATGTCATATAATACAGGATTTAAAACAGAAAATTTATGGGTCTGATTTGCCGCTATGAAAGATGAAAAAAACCTAAACCAACAAATAATATGAAATAATTTTCTGAGTTGTTTGCTAAGGCCTGACTCTATTTTTTTTTCAGTTAGTTAGCCAAATAGATCCTATTAATTTCACATGAAGGAGGTAGCTGCCCTGCTGAAAGTCAGCCTCAGTCCATTTTTGCCCTTCTGAAAAGTTTGCCTTGGCTTCAGCAGAATGCAGGTGCATAAGCTTTGCTAGAGCCAAATGAGTTCTCTAGCAAAGACAAAGGCACACAGCAATAAGGTTTTCCAGCTCTTTAGGAGCTGCAGAGAAGTTGATGAGGCTGTGTATTACCCTGCACTGTGTGATTATAACAAATAATATGGTGATGTATGAATGGAGCAAAAGCCTGAATTTGAAATGTTGTCTTAATTATGTCATGTTGTCTTAATAATTTTTCTAGTCTTTAATCTTTCATTCCTTCTTGTCTGTCTTGTCTTTTTCTTGTGGTCTGAACAAGAGCAGGCCCCTTTCAGAGACCTTAGACTGTTCTATACATTTTATAGGAAAAGGAAAAGATGCTTCCATTCCCTTCTGCTGAAAACAAGTTCTAGATTCACAGCTTCTGAACCTCGGTGGAGGATCCTGAATCAGGGATGTAGTAGCAGCCTCAGGCTCTTTGCTTAGCCAGCAGAGAGGAACTCTCAAAGGCCGTCAGTTAAATTCTAAGCTGCCGCGCCTTGTGAAGGCACCCATATCCATCCCCTGAATCTAGACATTAAAGCAGGGAACCTTTCACTTAGCTATTTTCACTCTCAGATCTCTTTCTGTCCATGTAACTATTTAGCCCTACTTCTAATTCTCATATTTATTTTATTCTGGGCGTCAGCAACATCATGTATCAGTGAGTTGCAAAGCTCAAGAGGTTTTAAAAAACTGTTTCACCACCCTTATGGTAAAAGATTTCTTCCTTATGTCTAGTCTGAATCTACCCTCTTTTAGTTGAAAGCCATTACCCCTTGTCCTGTCACTACAGGCTCTGTTAAAAAGTCTTTCCCTGTCTTTCTTGTAAGCCCCCTTTAAGTACCAGAAGGCTCCTATAAGGTCTCCCCGGAGCCTTGTCTTTCCCAGGCTGCAAACCCCAACTCTCACAACCTTCTCTTGTAGGAGGAAGTCTTTGGACTGCACAGAGCCAAAGTGAGACAAAAAACCAGGGATGCCATTTTTGAAGACTTTACTTTCAAATTTGGTCAATATTAGAAAACGATCAGTGCTATTAAAATCCAAAATTATTTATAAAATGATTTAGCTTAGAGCCAAGTTAATCTGTCTTCATTTAAGATGCACTTTATCCTTTCATTTCCTCTGTGGAGGAGAGGCTTGTCTTGGTATTACTAGATGTGTTTTAAATTGATTTAGTAACTGAGTACAAGCTTTCCAGAAAAATCCTGACTTGTTGTTGTTGAGACTTAGAGAAATCTAAGGGTAAACTGGGATTAGAAAACAAGAATGTCTGGTGCTACTTCACCTGCACCAAGGGAAGAGCCGATGCACTTTATTAATATATTTTGCTTTGTAAGAGCAAAGTAATAAATTACTAAAAGTTCCTTAGACAAGTGGCAGAAAGCTGGGGGATCATTTCCATTCTCTGCCTTTGTGGTCTGTACTCTTAACATCTGTTCGGGCAGCACGTAGCTTCGGCTCTCCACCCCTGACAGTCCAGCGTGGCTGAAGCTTGGCTTGGCCTCTCGCTTCCAGCGACGTTTTCCTCAGAACAGGCTGCACTCAAGAACCTCAGAAATAGCCTCAGATTTCAAGTGACAACAGTAAAACAGGAAAAAAGTTGTCAGCTTACAGATAAACAGACCATCCCTAACCTCTCAGTGTCATTTCTGAGAACCTCTTGTGAAATTAAGGATTTTATCAGAGAAAGCCATATTATTGATAGCTATGATTTCTTTGCTGATTATATCAATCCATCACCACAATGTCGTAAAAAAACCCTAATAAATCTTCCTTGATACTTCCATTGGGTCATCCCACATGAGACCCCACCACATTCACAGTATGAAAAAGTGCCAGGGAAAATATATCAAGATTTGAAAGACTGTTTTACAGTGAAACAGAAGTTGCTTCATACTGTGTGTAGTACAATTCCAGGGACAAAACTGTTCCACTGTCGTTATTTAGGGCATATAAGCTAAAGTGCTGATTGTTAAAGATTTAAAGCATAAGGACATTCC